TTCGCGCCCCTTCACGTCTCGGGCGAAGTCTGCTCAACGCTTTGAATTTTGGAAATTTCTCTGTGTTCCCCAAATCCCCTTAGCCGCGCCGCGCGTCTGCCAGGACTTGAGCAGTGTTTTTTCCTGCGTCCAGGAAAGCGACTGGGCATTGCCCCCAGTTTCCCCCAAATTTGGGCATTGTCCCCGGGTCTTCCAAGGGACTGGGCGTTGCCCCCAGACATTGGGGACTGCCCCCGGGGTCCCGCTCACCTTCAGCAGCTTCCACCGCCGCCGAGCGCTCCCTCGCCCGCTCGCTGCCTCGGCTTCTCATGCGCCCGCGGACGCAGCCTCCAGCCTCGCGGTGAGCTTCCCTTCGCGGCCCGGGGCCGGATATCGGCCCCTGGCCCGCAGCGCCGCTGTGCCTCAGGGGCCGGCGCTCACTAGGACGGCAACGAGGAGGCCGGCGCGGAGCGCGGGGCCTGGGCGGGCTGGCGACTGGGCGGCCGCGCGGACTCGCAGGAGGCGCCCGCAAATCGTCCCCGTTTCGTTCGCTCTTTGCAAAGACCATGATTCTAGGGACACGACTTGGAGTGCTTGCGCGGGGCAGGCCAGGCGCGGGGTCGTAGGGCGGCTCGGCAAGGGGGTCTCTGGCTGGGCAGCGCGGCTCCTGCAGCGCTCTGGACCGCGGACTCTGGGCGGTGCGCGGGCGAAATGATTGATGGCGGGGCGGGGGGCGCCAAGCGCGGGCTTCCGCTGGCGGCCGCCCCTGCCCCCTCAGCGCGACTGAGGGGCTCCGCCAGGCGGGTGGGCGGGGGGGGGGGCTTGTGCGTGGCTTTGACTGGGTCAAAATCATAACATCTTTTCGCTGAGATGCCTCCTCAGACGCCCAAATACTGGCTGTGGCCCCCAGGGCTGAACTCACTACTTCACAAGTGCAACACACTGGGGACTGAGAGTTCTTATTGGGACATTTTGGGTGGGCCCAGTAAAGCAAGCTGCTTAGATGCACCATGGTGTCTTTGGTTGCGCAGTCACCTGAGCAGCTTTTTGGCGGGGAGCAGTCTTCATGTTCAACCCACTTTCGGGGCCGCACCTGGCGGCCATCCTAGCTGCTCCGAGCCTTCCTGGGGCTCTCGCGCGGCACCGGGGGGCGCTCGGGTTCTGGCTTCAGGAGCCCAGTGGTCGGCTCCGCCCGCTCAGGCAGGTGATGGCGGCGCCCAGCCTGAAGTCAGGGACCCTTGGAAGGGACGCAGGGGCTCGCGCCCCCAATCCAGCACCCTGCTACCTGTGTTAGTACTGCGACGGGGCGCCCTCTCTGAGTGGTTCTCTCTTGGGGCGAGGGTACCCCTGTTGTCTCTTGCTCGCCCCGCGCCCTCGGTGCCCTTGCAAACAGACAGTTTGGCACCCCGGAAATCCAAGAGGGGCCCCCCCAAGTATATCAGAACGGTGTTTCTGGGCCTTGGAGACTCCCCACCCCCACCAAGACCCGCACCCCACGGCCCCCTCCTGGGTCCCCAGGGCCCCCCAACCCGCGCCACCCCGCGGGCTCGAGTTGCGGGGGCGGGCCGGGGGCGGGGCGAGGGCCCCGAGGGCGCCCATTGGCGCGGGCGCTTGGCCAGCGGGGCCCGCTCGGGCGCCCGCCGCGGGGTGGCGCGGCTATAAGAACCGGGCGCTGGCGCCCACAGTTCGCCTGCTCTCGGCGGAGCTGCGTGAGGCCCGGTGGCCGGCCCCCCCCTTCCGGCCGCGCCCGCCCGGCCCCTCTGCCGAGCTTAGCCCGCCAGCGCCTCCATCTGGGCTGGCGGCCCCACGCCGACGCCGTCCGCCGCCGCGCTGCTTACTCCGGTCCGGGCGCCGTCGGCTGGGCGCACTCCGCCGCCTGCGGATCCCCAGCCGCCTCCTCCTCCATCTACCTCAGAACACCCCGCTTCGCCGAGGAGGCGGTCCCCCCCGCAGGCAGTCCGGCCCGCAGGCCGCCGGCGTTGTCATCCCCCGCACCTCCAGCCCTCCCTGGCGCGCCCCGCCGCCCCCCGCGTCCCCAGCGGCTAGCGCGCCGCCCCTCGCTTTTCTGGCCCGGGCTTACGACGGCAGAGGGCTCCGTCGGCCCAAACCGAGCTGGGTGCCCTGTGGCTGGTGACGTCCCCCCCGCCCCCCGACGTGGCGCCCTGTGCTGGTACCTCCGCGCGCCCCTCGCTGGCCTCTGGCCGCCCGCGCGCGCCTCGGCAGCCACCCCCTCGGCTCCCGCCCCCAGCCCCGCCCGGCCTCCGCACCCCGCGGACGCGGGCTCGTCTTTCTGTTTCTCTCAGTGCTGTTCTCGCCCTCTGTGCGCCTGCCCGCCTCTCGCTGTCCCAGCTCTTTCTCGCCCCTCTCTTTGTGCCCCCCCATTCACGTTCCCTCTGTCTCTCTTTCTATCTCTGCCCCCCCTCTGTCCTTGATACAACAGCTGACCTCATTTCCCGATACCCTTTCCCCCCCAAAAGTACAACATCTGGCCCGCCCCGGCCCGCAGACAGCCCGCCCTCCCTCAACAAGCAGAAGAGTACTCCCCCCCCCCCAAACAAGCCAAACCCCCGTTCTGTTCCGTCGCACATTCGGCCCCCGCGACCGGGCCAGAGCGGCCCTGGCAGAGGAGTGTCCGGCAGGAGGGCCAACGCCCGCTGTTCGGTTTGCTACACGCAGCAGGGAGGTGGGCGGTAGCTTCGCCGGCTTCCAGGTAAGCCGCATGCCGGCGCGCGATGCGGGGGGTGCGGGGGCGGCGCAGCCCGGTCCGCGGGGACTCGGTGAGCGCCAGCTGGCGCTGGGGGGTTCTGGCGGGCGGTGGTGGGTCCCCCTGGCAAACCCAGGTCTCTCCCTGCGCCTTGGGGGCTGGGGGAGGGGTGTCGGGAAGTGTCCAGGGAGGCGTGAGCTGCCTGCGAGGAGAGGAGAAGGACTTCCTGGTTGGTTTGTGGGTGCCCTGAGGCATCGTTGGAACTGGGTGATGTGTACCGTGCGCGGGCGCCCCAGAGTGCTGGGCCTGAGGAGGGGCGTCTAGTCTCCAAGCCCACCGTGGTCTGTGGATTCTGGACCCACTGGCCTGTGGAGAGCTGGGTGGGCGGGGCCAGCATAGAGCCCGGCGGAGCTGGCCACCGAGGCCGGACGCCACATTTTCGCTATCTCTCCCCTCACCCGCATCTCCCCGTCCCCAACATTGCAAACAGGAATCTGGGGAGGGGGCGGGCTGAGTTCTGCAGGGTAAGAGAGGAGCCTAGAAGTTTCCTTACAAGGAGGTGGAACAGTCCCCTCCCCCTTGCTCCTTACCCTGCGGGGAGATGGGCTGGGGGGGGGGGATACAGGATGCCCCCCCCATGGCACTTTGCTAAGGGATGGCCCTGGGGCTAGCCTAGGGGTGCAGGAGGAAGGGGACTGGCTGGGAGGAGGCAGGGGGCGGGCACAAGGGGCGGGGGGAGTGGTCAGTGGGGGGGGCAGGGTGGAGCCGGGGCTGGGAGGAGCCGAGTCCAACATAAAAGCCCTGGCACTGACCAGCCCTCCAGCTGGACATTCGCTTCTCCTGTGAGAACGATCCAGCCTCCTCTTCCTCTCCAGCCTCGGAGTCTTCCTGTACACAACAGGTAACCCTGGGCTGTCGATCGAGGACCCTCTGCCACCGGCTCCTGCTCGGCTCCGGCTCTCTCGCTCCAGCCTTCCTGGCTACTTGAGAGCATGGCCCAGCTGGGCCCCTCGCAGCCTCTCTCCGCTCTCTCCCTCTGGCCTCCTTTTTTCCTGTCCTTGGCTGTTGCCTCTTTCCTTGTCCTCTCTCCTCAGCGCTGCCTGGACCCTCACCTGCGCCTGCTTCTAGGGTGCTCTGGCCCTCTGCAGAAAGCACTGCAGGGCTGAGCCTGGGGTTGTTGGCTGGGACTGGAGAGCGGGCCAAGTTTGCTCTTAGAATGTGGCAGGGGCGGCACAGGGGGCGCTGGGGAGACTGGCTGGAGACCAATCAAGGGCTGGAGGTAGAAGTGATTTTCTTTTTGCGTCTTTCTTGTGGCCCCTCCGTTGTTCCCGATTTATCGCTTCCAAAAGCCCCGGGGCCACGAAAACTAGCAGCAGTCTCTTTCCCCGGTGTGCAAGCTGGGGAGGGGACCACCTGGGGAGCCTGCTTACCCCCTTTTTGTCAGCGTGTCCAGGGGCTAAGGGGCCCCTTGCCCTAAGTGGTCCTCACCTTGGCTCTTCTGGAACCCGCGGGTACCTCCACTTGCTGTGGTGGGTTAAAGAGGCGCCATGCTGTCCATCCTCCCTAATGGATGTGGCCTGCCTTTTGGGGCCCTGAGGCCACCCAGCCTTTAGGGCATGTGTGTGTGTCCCAAGGTACTTCTCTCTGAGATTGGGCCCTGAGGGTCTTGGTGTCCAGGATCCAGTTTCAAGTGGCCTCAGCTCTTGTCTTGGAGGGTGGAGCTGGATACTGAAAATGGGGTGTGATGGCTGTGGTGGGGCGGTGATGGGGCGTTGCATGGTCAAGAGAAGTTTTTGATTTTTTTGTGTGTGTTTGGTTGGGGGTGGGGCTGGTGGGGGAGGGGAGAAGAGTAGTCCAGCTTGGAGTTGGATTCAGGAGAACATGGCTCTCAGGAGCTAATCATTGGTCCGTTGACCTGAGTTTGGCTTAGTCACGGATTGAAAGGGAGGGGGCTGGTCCTCCTGGGCCCCCCTGTTCACCTGGGGTGGGAGGTGATCCTCCAGCCCCATGATGTCATACATGGAGGTCAAGTCCTGGCGGTTTGGTGGTGAAGGCCACGTGGCTCCATCAGTATCAGCACTGCGATTCGATTCCAGTGTTCAAGGTCTTTCCACACTTGCCTTCATTCCTGCAGACACTCTTGTCTCAACCATGAATGCCTTTGTAACCATAGGATGATGATTACGGGACAGCCATGTCTTACTTACTGTGCTTGTAATGTTTATTTAGGAAACGGTGTGAGGGGGGGAAGGCCCCTGTGGCCCCTGCCTTGTCCTCAGTGATCCCAGCACTTCCGGGGGCTTTGCTCTCTCTGCAGACACTGATGGGGATCCCGGTGATGAAGTCGATGTTGTGGCTGTCCACTTTCTTGGCCCTGGCCTTGTGCTGCCTTGCTGCTTACCGCCCCATTGAGACCCTGTGTGGCGGGGAGTTGGTGGACACCCTCCAGTTTGTTTGTGGCGACCGCGGCTTTTATTTCAGTGAGTAGCTCAGGGGCGGGGCGGGTGAGGGGGAGTGGGCAGACACAGCAGGCACTCAATAAATGTTGGTGTCCCCTTGATGAAAGCAAATTGTCCCTCTCATTCAGAGCCACTGGGAGAAAGACGGGCCGCCAGTCAGCACTTAGTGAGTGCCTGCTGTGTGCGTGTTCCTGTGCCCTGTCCACTCACACCTACAGTTGCCCACCCCCTGACTTGTCTCCCTTCCCTCAGGGTGGGTGGTCTTTTTGTGGGAGGCAGACCCTAAAGAGCCAGAGTAACCAGGGGTCCCGTATCTCCTTCAGATCTCAGGGGCAGGGGTGTTCTAAGCTCCTGCTCCCCAGGACACTATGCCCCTTGGGTGGGTGTGGGGCAGTATGTGCTGCCCCAGGAGGTGGTGCCTCAGGTGGCCTCTGCCACAGGCTACCTGGATGTAGGTGAGGAGGTAGGCTTGCAGGGCGTATGTGGCTCAGGACAGTCCCGTCCTTCTATGAGTTAAAGTTCTTAGGTGGTGTCATCACCCCCCGCAACCCCCTGGGTGGAGATTTTTTGCTAGTGCCTCCCGTGGGCTCAGAGACCTTTAGTGCCCCCCCCCACACACACACACCACTCCCCTTCGGCACCGTTCGTTGATAGTGCCTGGAGGAGGGGCTACACTGGGACCTTGTTTTGCATCTTTGGTGATGTTTAAACTTTTAAAAGGAGCTCTGGTAACGTAGTGGTTACAAATTGGGCTGCTAATCTCAAGGTCATCAGTTCGAAAGATGAGGCTTTCTGCTCCCGTAAAGATTTACAACCTTGGAAACCCTGCACAGGGTCACTATGAGTCTAAACTGACTCCACGGGACTTAACAACAACAACAACAAACTTTTAACGATGAGGATAAAGTCAGAGGCTACTGGGGTCACTTAAACATATAAAACAAACCCCAGTGTCTCTAGTGGGGGCAGGGCTGCGGGGACACTTGCTGGGCCATGGGGGTACAGAAGAAGACTCCACCCCTGCTGATAAGACCCCTGCCCAGATGTGGGTGGGAGACCCAGGCTGAAAAAACCAGGAGGAAGCCACTTAGAAACAGGGCTGAGTCAGTGGCCAAGGGCTTTAAATGAAAGACCAGGCCAGTTGAGGGTGGGGGCAGGTGGGAGAGGGGCTCTAGATTTGCTACCTTGCAGGGGTAGCTGTGAGCTCAGCCCAGCTCTCGTCCACTCCCCCACCCCCAGGCGCAGCAGGTGTGGAGCAGCCTGGGACCCTGAGCCATGTCGTGGGGGAGGGGGAGAGGATGGGAGGAAAGAAGGGCGTGGTCTCATTGAAGCTCCTCACTCCTCTCCTCCCGTCCTCTTCTCTCCCACCCATCCCTGCCCATCTGGGCGACGCCAGGTGCCAGGCTGGGTCCCAGTTCGGGGATGATGCTGGTGTCAGGGTCTGGGGTCCAGAACATAGGGACCAGACCCCTTGCTGGTTGGCCCCTTGAGCTAGCCGCCCCCCTCCCCTCCCAGACCACCATTCTTCTAAGGGTCTGCCCCATGGACTGGGGTCCGAGAGGGGCTGGGTTCATTTTAAACACAGGATGAGGCACCAAGGGGAGGACCCTGCATTTCATTTGCTCTCGGGGTCCCCCTCCCTTATCTCATGCCGCTGTGTAGGCTGACCCTTCCCCAAGTGACCAGTGCCCTCTCGGATGGGGGCTAACTGTTCCCTTCCCTGCTGCGGTGCCTCCAGGCAGACCTGTGAACAGATACAACCATCGCCGTGCCCGGGGCATTGTGGAGGAATGCTGCTTCCAGAGATGTAGCCTGGCCCTGCTGGAGACATACTGTGCCACCCCCGCCAAGTCCGAGAGAGATGTACCGGCCCCTCTGGCCGAACACCCGGTAAGTGTGTGTTGGGGGGAGGAGTCCTCCCAGCTGAGGTCTCCCTGGGGACACTGCCCCTCCCTGGACTCCAGCTACCACCCTCAGGGAACCTCTGGGAGCAAGCTCTGAGCCTATTGTGTGTCCACCCGTCTGAATCCAGTGCAGGTGGATGCGGGGAGTGGGGATGGATCTCTCTGAGACCCACGTCGAGACCCTCATTGGTGGGGTGAGGAGTGGCTCAGGGTCAGGGTGGGCTGCCCTGACTCGTCCCTTCTCCTTTCAGGACGATCCCCAATTATCCGTGGGCAAGGCTTTCCATCTGGACAACTGGAAGCAATCCGCTAAGCGCCTGCGCAGAGGCCTGCCTAGTTTCCTGTTTGGCCTGGGCAAGATGATCCACCGAGAAGTGTCTCAGGTGATCAAGGAGATCACTCATCCAAAATCCACGATCACCGTGCCCGTCCACGTGCAACCTGTGACCCAAATGGAAGATTAGACGTGAGCTAAACGGTTGTAATTCTGCGGACCACCATCACCGTCCTCTACCTTTTCCTGACCAGGGGCCAGTCCACCAGGGCTCCACCTCTCTCCCATGGGCGCTCCCAACCCCAGCCCCCCTGCCTCAGCCTCCTCTAGTCAGGCTGCTGCCGTATCAGCCCCTTCCACCGGGCAAGTAGTAACATCTTTAAAATTTTTTAAAATATGATTGGCTTTATACATCCTCCGCAAATGCCCCTGCCCCCTAAATTACCCCCCAAAACAGCTCTCAGATGACACATGCATCAAAAAATTAGAAGTGTAATACAACCTTCCACATGTACACTATAGCTCCCAAAGTTCATTGGCTCTTTAATAACATCAGAAATGTTGATTGGCTGAGAGAAGGAAACAACTAAAAAATCAATTGGCTAACAAATGACAAAAGTTCTAATTGGCTTAAAAGCAATTGACAAAGAAAATTAATTTGCCCCGCCCCCCCTTCCTCCTCTTCCCCTCTGGACCTGGAGTCAGAATTGGCCAGAGACTCTGAGTCTCTAAACCAACCAGGAGAGAGGAAGGCCTTGGACATTTGACACACCCATCCTTGTGGTATCTCATCTCCCTTCTCAGACAAAATCTCTGATTGGATACTCTAAATGTTGATTGGCTATGATCAGACAGGTCCATCCCAAACTTGCTCTTCGCTCAAATTTCCATCCTGAAAAAAATGCCCCGGAGCTAGTCTGAGGGACCCAATGAGACCGACCGAGGGGAGATGAGCATGAAAGCTGCAGTCAGTGGAAATAATGTTTAATTGGCAGAGCCCCACACTCTAAAAACTATTCCCCCACCAATCATCACGCCTCAGAGCTTACATCTCCACCACCTCCCTGCAAAGCACTCACACGCACATGCATGCACACAGCCACACACTCACATTATACACACACTCACACATGTTTACACACTCACTCACACTAAAGCACACTCATAGTCATCACAACTCACACGCATGCACATAAGCATTTTCACAGCCTCACATTTATACAATCCACTCACATGCACACACTGATACATAGCCACACGTTTGTGCACACATATACACATTTGCTCTTGCACACTTACACACACACCAGCTGAAGCACAGCCCATGCACAACACATGCACATATGCCTCCTTGCACACAACACACGCACACACATGCTTGCTCATGCACAGTACATGTACACATGCCTCCTTGCACACAACACACGCACACACATGC